GCCAACATCAACAACAGAGTAAACATCAACAACAGAGCCAACATCAACAACAGAGTTAACATCAACAACAGAGCCAACATCAACAACAAGCACCACCTCCACATCAACGACATCGACTACGACCTCGAGTAGCAGTACGTCAACATCAACAACAAGGACTACAACCGCGACTAGCACTACATCAACACCAACAACGTCGATCACTACCTCGACGAGCAGTTCCTCAACATTAACAACATTCACTACCACCTCGAGTAGCACTACGTCAACATCAACAACTACTACTGGGTATACCCCTGATGTGTGTAGTAATTCGTCACAAGTTGCATTGCCGAATGGTACTTGTGTTTCCTCTGGTACTGGTCAGGTTTGTTGTAGATCATGCTCTTCGATTCACTAATAGTTGTCTTTCTAGGAATATTCAGCTGGAATACTAAACACTGGTAATGGGAGTTCTGTTGATCTAGCGAATGCTCTTTCATTGTATGTAGCATCAGTAAATAATGCAAATATGTCAAGGGACGCTAATAGTACTGTATCTATCAGTATAATAGAGGACTCGCTGAGTAAACTGAATAATATAAGTATAACACTTCGTTCTGATACCTCTTTTCTCATTGCGCAACCGCTGAATCACAGTTCAAATGATATTCTTTTGGGCGCTAGATTTCAGCGTGGTTTGGGTGGTTTGTCTGTAACGAATTCTACTGTGGATCCTTCGTTAAATTCAAACACCAGTGTAGCAGCTGTTATTGCTGAACAATCTTTGCTGGATGTGAAATCTCTGCAAATGTTTATTATCGATAAACCAACTATGTACGAAAATGTTGACAAGAAAACAAATAAATCACTTGCCTCTTCGGTTGTCATGGGTTCAGTTCAACGAGTCAGTTCCGAATCTAGTTCCATGAATATTTCTTTGTATTTTAAAATATCACCAGAATATCAGCCTAATGTAAGTGCGATGTATCTATGTTCATTCTATGACATCAGTAACTCGCGTTGGAACGAAACTGGTTGTACTAACCCACTATTCAACGCTGCATTCGATAGATATGAATGTAGTTGTAATCATCTAACTTCGTTTGCTCTTATTTGGCTGCCGCAATCACAAATTGGATCCTATGGACGTACTATGAGAGCAGCTGATATTGCATCACTTGTGTTTCAATCTGTGTCTATTGTGTGCTTCTTAATTGTTATTATTCATTCTGTTGCTATTCGAGCTATG